CAGCCTGAACACCTCTCTACCTACTCAACTCAACTAAAAGAGGGTTTATAAAGAACGTAAGTCAAATAAAAATCAGATAATTATACGAAAAAATGTGGAATTGTTTTCAGCTGTTACTGACAATTTTGATTGACTTGTAATATTGCAACAATTACGCAACGGCACGTTATTTTTGCCAGCACTTGAACCTTATCAAGACTGCATTTTCCTAAGCAAATTAAAAGTTTATAATATACTGCTCCGTTTTCCTTAAGTGACCTAGAGGCAATGTGCTTCTTTAAATCGTTGTAAGTAGTGTGTAAGCTTGGCTAGATTTGGTTGAAGGTCACTGCGTTGAAAGCGCTTGGCCTATCAACATTCTAAAACTGTATGTGATAGTCTGAATCCACCAGAGAACCGCCATTAAGAAATAAAAGAAGGCTACAGTTGCCTACAAACATGAAGTTCTATAAAACCTGTAATAAAGGAGCTTTTTTTTTACCAACAACAAAAACAAAACGGATTGTTAGAGGCCACTGTGTGGGGAGACGTTTAACCTCTACGCTTGTCTGTTCGCACCCGATAAATATTCGCTTCAGACGCGCTTACTCTCAAAAATTTCACATGCAACATGCAGCCACAGACTTGAAAAGATACTGAAAAATCGTGGATTGTTACAGGGCACTTGGTTATTGAGACATTGTCAAGGATACCAATAATGCCGGCCCCCATCAAATGCGAAGGAATGGCAAAGCACTGTGAGTGGCACTGAGTATTGAATCATATTGGCCTAGCATCATTTTGAACCGCGAGTTCATATTAGATATCTTACGTGACAGAAAGAATATAATCACACGATTTTATAGACTTAATCAGCTCAAAGCAGTGTGAATTTTGGATCACGCTTTTATTTGGATAAACATTTTTACAGTCGATATGATTTCAAGAACAGCAAATAAACATGGCATATATATGTACCTAAAAAAATTGTTCCGAATTTTACGTCCGGTGCCGCCGTCAAGTCTTTCGTCATACGTTCGCTCCCAGCACAACGCGAATTGCGTCCACGCTGAGATTTGAACTCTTACCACCACCGACCCCTCTAATTATTGTATATATATAAATAGTAAGCACGCTATCCCTTACCCCGTTACAGCGGCTTTTTATGCATTTACTCTGGTTGCCATATTCCGAATTGGCCGTGCTTCGACACGTACGACAAAACAAACGAGAGTAACTACGAAATCGAATTGGCTAACTGAAAGAAAACTAAAGCGTTAAACTCGATCGCGTTTTTTGCTACACGGTTACCGAAGCAGATATTACCCCATTCAGTAGAGATTCCACTGAAAGCCAATGACTTGGGAATATAAGTGCCCAGTATACGATTTGAATCGATCATGTTACAATGTATGCCTTAAAGGGGAATAATTGCTACAGAATACAAAATATTAAAATGTGTATGTGTATCCGATGATATTGCTGCTAGATCTGCCTCGTGGCTAGTGATATCTACTTGTTTATTTGTCCGTCTGGTCTTAAGGTCCGTTTTTATCCGCGCATTTCGATTTGAACCCAATCGAACACCGATTCGGTTCATGTACGTTATCTCTTAGATGTCAGTTGAGAGTCAATTTTTACGTGGGGTCTTCGAACTCGTAGGAAAAGAATGGTTCACCCTACAAGGTGCCTTCTCAGTTGAGACTTTGATAGCTCTTTGTAAGCTGAACCTAGCTATTAAAGGCCATGTGTATGAATATTTCCAAAGAAAACTCACATTATGTATAATGGATGTTATGGCTAAAATAAATTAAAAAAATAAGGCATTCTGACCTAAGTATTACACTTATTAATGAAAAATACGACAGCAAACGACATGTTGCTACCATCTTCAGGTCATCTCGATTATAGAGTACAATATATGAGCCCATTCGCAATGCATACAAATATATAAGTGATTAGATTCATGACCAAAAATACAGAGAGTGAAAAGCAAGCCATGAGCTTGTATTATATAATACAGCTATTCTGAATTACTGTATATGAACATAATAACTGCTGCGGTCTTACGTTAGTATTTTTTTCCAGATATATCGGCCATATCTTGTAGATATCATGAGAATTGACCTATTAAACCATCGTCAGTTCATTACAAAAATACTTCGAATACTAACGGTTTATGAAGCACAGTAGCTTGTAACCATTTATTTTTCATTATTCTTTAGTAATAATTTCGGCAGTTTTTTCTACTCACTCGCTTCGAAAATCCCACGGATACACTTTTCTAAGCGTTCGTACAGTTTATCTAGCATGTCTCCTGAAAAACCTCCTTATAGAGTTATCTACCCTTATCCGTAACTAATTGTGACAGTCGCTTTAGAACTCGCGAGTCATTTGTAAGGTTTCGGCAAATGCTGTGTAGTCTTTCTTGATTTTACTCATATCACCAGCGTCACCCTCTTCCAATAATGATACGCACCTTTCCATTCTTCTAAACAAATCTTTGCATTGCTTACTTTAAAGATTAATGAGGCGAGCTTCCCGAATACTCTGCCAAGTACGGATGGTGCCTGTCTATGAAGGCAGTATCCAGCTGCATCGTCACGTGGCATGCAAGAGTAGTAGTGCGGGAATAATAGCCCAGTTTCGTAGTCCAATAGGCCGATTCCCTTGGAGCGACATATTTGGCTTTTTTGCTCCTGTTACGGCTTTCGTTCAGCGTTGACCGTCATACAAATTAGCGTTGCGACGATAATATATGTAAATTATGCGCAGTACTCAAATTTCCCGAATTCCATGCATTTTGATCGATATGTAGCGAATTTTCAAACGGAGCCTCCCATCTAGTCGCAAGACGCGTTTGTCGCACTTTGTAAAGAAGGTTTGCGTGTGGGAAAATTGTTTCGAAGAATCTATTACCGCAGTTAGGCTTTAACAAGCCATTGAGGAGTTAACCCGTGTATGAGCTGCATCTTTGACACTGCCAGCCACTTACCAATACGCATAAACTCTGATAGCGGTTTGATCGGGAGGCAATCACACGAATGCCCATATATGATAACTTCTTTTACTATTCGACTTCCCCGAAGCTTATGTGAACATCTTTATATCAGGTGACCGTCAATCGAATAAAAAAAGCTTCTACAATACCTAGCGATTTGTTCAAAGACCAGACCGAAGAATATATTGTTTTTATTGTTTCGTACAAGAGTATGGGTAATCATCAGAAAACCAGTATAATAGAAAACAAATTGGCCCGTTAAAAGTGTTTTTTAAAATTATTCTTAAGGCAATACCAGCAGATTTGGAAATATCGTAAATTTTAATTTGCGCCCTTATTATTATAAATAATAAATAGCGCCCGTATTAAGCATGTGTGCCAATCACGTTATGACACGTCAACGACACGACGTCAGTGTAATCAATTATTTGGAGCGATAACGTTTATAGAAAATAGAAGAATTTTCAAGAACTTTAAAGGGTGGCTGTAGATTCAAATTCTATAAAACAGCTAACAAAAAGTGTCGTCTTACAGGTCTATCTCTGTTCCGTATGAAAAGCGTAGATTCGATGAATTCAAAGAATGATTGGTTCTATACTATCGTAAATAACCAGTGCTTATTATCATGTACAATTTAAAAAAAAAGTGGGTTAATACTCTTTACTATACAATAGTTACGCAAAATGCCGTTTGCCGGAATAGATAGGCCATATACAGGAGTTATAAAAGCAACAATAATAGCACAAACAAGACGAACAAATAAACGAATTCGAAAAATTACGTAGTCATATGCCATCAAAACTTCAACAACGCTAAGGGATAAGAAGTGACAATGTTTCAGTATAAATAGTTTTTTTCTTGTTAACAGTATACTATACCCTATAGATTTTTTGTGTTCCTACACCGAATGTATTCATACACATTCTATCTACGTAAGTTCTATTAAAACTCTATAGGTTAGAGCTCTGTAAGTTCTATTAAAACTCTGGATAATATCACTCTTCTAGTGATAATATTTCGATCACCCGACAGCTACACGCATAAAAAAGTGCGGTTTTTAGCGGCTATTAAAACTAAAAAAAATTCCAGTTCACTGCGAAATCGAGCTATTGTTCGAAGGTCTTTATATAAAGGCTGAATGTTGGACACACATTAAAATCATCCGACCTTAGTTCCTGCTACTTGCTATAACGAAACTGACTGGAGCGACACCATTAAGGGTTGTTAAAGTTAAAAGAAAATTAAATGGTACACTACCTATTTATTAATAACGTATAATTAAAATCTAGGATAGTGTTTAACAGGAGAATGATCCTAGAATGGACCCCAAGATTAGACACTGTCCATAATTAATGCAAAAACACGTGAGAATTCCGAGCAACAAGTGCTGTCCATTGTATCAGACAAATAGTGCTTTTAGTAACGTAACCTCTGCTGATAACACGTGCTGCCCTAAGCACAGAGCTCGGCTAGCAGACGCCTCATAGATGACTGTCGCCAGTCGGCTACAGGCGGCAGTTTTGAATTTGAGTTCTTCCGATTGGAAAACGCAGATTTCTTTGTAAATGGCGCCTTATAATTATTTCTTTTTGCAATTCAAACACTTGCTGCAATTTTCCCAAGGCAACGAACTCAATTGCAATCGCTTCTTTGTGCTGCTAGGGTTTTTCGATTGTTTTAATATTTGAGAGTACCAATCCTATTTTGAATTGATAATTATTTCTATATTGACTCGCAGTGTCTTGAAATGACTGTTGTAACACTTTGCCTGGTACGTGTTTATTTTCGGGTTTAATTGTGAAGAAAGCATGCTTGTCTAGCATGTTAAGCATATCAGAACGTGACGCACTCTATTTCTGTGGGCGTATGAGGCATAGTATATCATAAAAGGGAACTAGATTGTGCCTGTTGTTTACTTCGTAGTGCGGTGTCAATAATTTGAATTTCACAGGGATTATAAACGGTCAACTGATAATTCTGACACGTAATCCTGCCAAATGATAAACGATATAGCTTATATTCGTTCTGTGCCGACGACAGCAAGCGTTAGTGCAAGCTAAGTCTGGGGTCTACTAGAAATGACTGGATTATTACATATTTGAACGGACGTCCTTGGACTCATAATAATGTTAACTAATTTCAAACATACATTTGAAGTTTGTAAATAATGTAGACATTTAATCTGTTCTCTTAAGTGTGTTCTTTAAGTGATTTTTGTGAAACAATTTGTAGCTCTACAGCTTCTACGTGGAATAAACCCAACACTTTTTCATCATGTTACATTTCATGTAGCTAAAATAAGTCAACTTTAAATAGTATTTTTAGCTTACCTTAAAAACAACACAGAACTGTCTCTATTTGGGCACCTTCGTATTTAGGTAAAGTAGACGATACGAAGTATTATCTTTTAACACCTATTTGTTTTCAACCAAACCCGAAGTAGCTTTTAAAAGTGAAATGAATCACAGTACAGCAATATATTGTTGAAAATTTATTGTTTTCTATGGGTAAATAAGTGCCTTCACAAAAATGTGACTGCATTTAATAAAAAAATGGTATAAATAGGTGAGGACAAATTACGCTTGTTTATATAGTTCCTTGTTGACCCTGTTGACCAAAGAAACTGCACATGTATCCCCAGGCATCTACCCCTTAACAAAATGCACAACTTAATCGGTGCTATAGCTATAGCGCCACTGACAATATATTATTACAAGCAGGTAAATTAAGTTTTACACGTAAACGATGCGAGCATCTGTTTTGCCACACAGCCTATAGAGACACCTATCGTATCAAAAGAGATAAACCAGAAATCCATACTATTTGCATGACGCCAAAAAACAAGCCTCTTGGATTGCAGGTGATCTGATGGGGCGAGAGAGTTCCGTCAGCTTACGCCTAGTCCCGACAAATTGTTGGTGCCAAAGCTTTTGTTTCTAAACGCGCGCGAAATATTCGCATATTCGCAACTGAGTGGCTGATCAACCATAGTCTGCCGCTGTCTTCGTATGGGCGCTGTGTAACTGATTTGCTCTTTCCGGTAGTGAGTGTGTATCGGTAGTCGTCTCAAGGCAGCTGAGAGGTCTGGCTGGATGGAAGGGACGATCATAGGGACCGTTTCGTTAGTGATCACATACACACCAGTTCAGATTGTGAGGAAGATTACGGGATAATTACCATGTGATATTTTCCCAAAACGAAAGAACAGTGCTATTTCGAAAACGACTATGTGCTCTTTCTAACTGGAACGATGGACGGTCCGATCAATCGGCAAGTGCGGGTAGGGAAGAGGATGATCTAAAACAGGCGGTCGAATACGTGAGTGTGTTTACCTCTGTGATACTTCTGATTCGCTAAGAGGTTCCTGTCTCTTTCAGCACGGATCGAGCGCGTATAGATTGCCGCCAGCAGTTCAACAAATAGATCGCTTCACACGTCTGAAGTGATCGCGGACGAGCCAGAAGACATTAAAGGCTTTTGCTTTGAGCAAAATTTAGGACTACGGGAATGTTTAATGCATCGGTGCCGTGCATATACTCCGCCCCGGCCAAAAAGACCATGGGCGTATCGATGTGTTGGTATAGCGCAGTTCTTATATGTGTGAATGGAAAGCGTATTAAGTAAGAGCCGTCGTAGCTTGGGTCTAGATAAGACCTGAACGGAGAGAGACATCGAAGCGGTAGTTGACATCGAGCAGCTGGTTTCTTGTAAGGTTGTAATGAGCGACTCGAAAGGGAAATTCATTAGCATCTACACGCGCTTGCGTACACGAAAACATCTATACAATTTCCTTGTGCCCTAGACAGTCAGCATGAGAAAAAAGAGCAACGATTTGTAAAGGCCCCTGTGCGTTACGCCCCTCGCTGTCATCGCATTCCACTAAGTCAGGGATGGCCTGACCTATTTACACGATGTAATTAGTCTAAGCGTTGGCAACACGATAACAGGAAACGTACTGGAATATGACCACTTAACGGTAACTCGATTTACAGCAACGAAATCTATTCGATTAGCGAAGTGATCGATTGATGTATACCAGACAACGAAGTTGGGTATCACAAATAATAACAAAGCACCTGTAGCATGATGCTGAGTGTCCATCGAAAACCGATATGGATCTAATTGAAGACGACAACTCAGAATCGTCGGCTTCCAGCATCGATTTCCAGGACCTTACAGACTGGATTGTAGAACAGGTCATTGATGCCAACACTAATAAACACGTTAAGCTCATTTATCGTTACCGTAAATATATTGCACAGGGAAGTTTTGGAAGCGTTTCTAGAATACTGACTTTCCAACGTCAGCGACTGGCCCTTAAAGAAATCAATCACTCGAAGGCGAAATTACTCGAAGTAAAAATAATGACTCAATTAAATCATGAGAACCTTATAAGCATTGCGTATCATTGCAACAAAAAAATGGGCGGGAACCGTTATCGGACCTACATCTTTATGGAGTATATGCCTAAAACGGTTCACGCACTAATTAATGAAACAGCGGACACGAACGGGAAGCTTGATGAGGTAACTTGCGCTATCATCGTTTACCAAATACTTCGTGGCTTGGCATATATGCACCGTCGAGATATTGCCCATCGAGATATTAAGCCGCGTAACGTTCTCCTGCATGCAGGCAAGATGAAAGTGAAGCTTTGCGACTTCGGAGCAGCGCAGAAGATAACTGATGCAGCTGAAAGGATAACCTACGTCTGTTCGCGATGGTATCGGGCTCCGGAGCTACTGCTGCGTAACAAAAATTACGATTGTAAGGTCGATCTGTGGTCAGTAGGTTGCGTTCTTGGCGAGATGCTTCTGCTTCGGCCACTTTTTGTCGGAAGTGACACTGTCGATCAGCTAGCAGCTATCCGGGACGTAATTGGAGCACCGACCGAAGAGGAGCTCATCGCCATGCAACCAACATGCCAGTATAATTTATATCCAAAACCAAAACGAAGGCATGTTTGTTCTGCGTTTGATGCTACCGTCGCCCAATCCATTCTTGATTTACTTGATTCATTATTGCAGTATGATTCAGCTAAACGCCCTTCGCCTTGGACAGCCCTGGCTGAACCTGTGTTTGACACACTCCGCACAAAAGATAACGTCACTACGTACCCGCACCTATTTAATTTTACTCAGGAAGAGCTCGAATACAATCCCGACATTAATAAAAAACTTGTCATTGTAAAGTAACTATAAATTGAATACACATTCCGCCATATTGGTTAGCTGTAGAGGTTATAACAATAAAATATTTTCTGTATGTGCAGTGTTGAGTTACTTTTTTATTATTTTTATTATTTCGTAAGAAATGAATAAAACTATTTTGATTCAGTCATGAACTAAAGTATAAACTGTTCAGTCTATACAATGGCATGACTAAATGTTGTATGTTAGGGACTAGCCACAGTAAGATGTTAGAGAAACTCAGATATGTTTGTAGAAACAGTGTAAGCAGATATTTCTATTTTTATTTGTATCAATAATTATTATTTGTAGTAACATGATGTATCCAAACTTCGAAGGAAAAGTATCGTACTCACAGGCGGGTACAGAACAGAAGAGTGTATGATTTTCTAAGAAAATCTTGGGCATGATGCGTTGACAAAAAATGGATCTACATAAAAAACTTCTCAAAGATGATTATTCCCAATAGCTTCCCTTACGCAAGGGGACGAAGAGACTACGTAGATACGCAGCGAACTGCCTCACTTGAAACTTTAATAGAATGGATGCGACGGGATCTATACTGACAGTAGCACAACTGCTATTATCGTTAACCACGAACACTTGTCAATAGAAAACGAGTGGCGTTTTATTCATTCTAATTATTTTTACTTAAATAATGTAAGATCGGATTCAAATTCACCACAGCTCAAAGTGCTACGCTCGCCTATGCTTTTGCTTTAGGCACGTCTTTGTTAGTTCAACTGTGAATCAGGGCGTGTAATATTTTAGTTTTATATAATGCTACATGGGAAAATTAGCTTGATTTACATATCCTTCTTTCTAGATTCCTACCAAAATTGAACTACAACATAATTAAGTTCCATTGTAACGGGTTCCAGTGCGACCTTTTTTTTCATATTTTTGAAGTGCGTTTTATTTTATTCAAGAATTATCTATGGAAACACTGTAGTATAGCTTTTACTTTAAAATCCGTAGAACGTTATATTGGTTATATGGCCTCATATTTCCTTAATTCTTTCGTTTGCGTTTTAGCCTATAACAACTACTATATATGGGAATAATTGACGATATTATCGAAGCATATATTGAAATACGCAGGCACGAAGGTCTTTTGTACTAATGTGTCAATTTTCTAGGAATCGGACAGCTATAACATAATGTTTTGCTTTAACCACAGTGAATCACTGCTGCAATTCTGTATTATAGTTTGTATTTTTTTTTGTTTGGTATTGAAACTATAGTTAACTCTATAAAATTTAGTTGTCAATAGGTGTTCCCTATATATGCAACATGCATTGGATAGCTTTATGCTGTACTCAGAGATCTAACGTAACTAGTAGCGCATTCGTAATGGCACATCCATAAATAGAACAAAAAAAAAGCTTGCAAACTCCTCCTACCGACTCCCTTTAGAAACTACTCTCGCTGCTGCCATTGCTGTTAGCTCCCAGCTATTAACCCTGTATAGACCATGGCGCCTTTACTGCACGTTTAGTGTCGAGGCCTTCGAGTAAGCCTAAAAAAGCCTAGATGAAAAACAAGTAAACTTGTGAAATACCTCTCAGCACCTAGAAGTTAAAATAAAAACACACCAAATATGTTTCTAAGTAGCTGCTGAGACGTAGTCAACATATATCAACTGAAAAAGCAGAAGAAAATTACTGTAATGAACGAAAGAAAAGCATTATTAAGAGAATAGATTCAAAAATTGGTTTTCTGAATTTGCAACCCAAACATGATCGAAAGATTACAATTTCTAATAGTTCGTCCGCCAAAAAATGGGTGGTCTGTAGTTCAGGCGAATGGAAACACTCTTTAACTATCCTCAAGAAGACCTTTGGTCGCTACTGTAAATCTTCAATTATTAAACTCAAATGTTCCAGCAAACTTAAAGATGCGTCAAGGATCATTTACGTATAATACCTTCGACGATTTAAAATGCATCCTACGATTTTATCAATGTACGCTGAATTAATGGTGTCGAGTTAAACAAGCATACGATATAAATACAAAATAAGCATAACGCTTTCGATGTTTTTTTTTTCCGAATTAGGCAGTGTTGTGTTTTGATAGGCTAGTTTCTTAAATCTGCATTACGTAATGGCCTCTATTGCTTTATTTTAAAATCTCAATGCAATACTGTAATAGGTAATAGCAGTATTGTTTCATGTACGATTGTCAACAGAATCTTTTTATGAGCCCAGTAAGTTCATTCATTGACGAAACATTTTTATATCACTACTCCGAAGCAAGATTCGTTTATTTATTTCAGCCGCAGAGATATCCTCTGTATCTCATGGTACTTTCTCTTTCAGATAATATCATTGGAGGTCAATCAGCACTGGCTCAACCACCAACATAAAGCAGGTCTAGCCGAAATTAATCTTTTGGAAATGGTCCATGAAGTTGTTTATCCACTCAGTATCGGCATATTATAAGTAGGACAAACATAACGGTGAGAAAAACGCCCATAGGGCAATACGTCTACGTAGTCATTTTCCCGCCTCCGTTTAAATCTAGACCTCCTAATTACACATACGCTAAAAATTCAATATTCAGTGCGTGTAGAGAAGGGACGCTAAAAAGACTGCCACTGTCACACTTTTCCATCATCATCGACACATTGATCGTTACCTGTCCATGCAAAAAACACTATCTATCTACGTATAGGCAATTCGTCTACTTCTTTGGGGATTCAATAGCGGCTTTGATCGATCTTTTTTGGACTGTAGCAGTTCTTGTAAACGGATAAATATCTTCTCATTTCCTAACCATGAAGGCATAGTTAAAGGCATCCGGGCGAAACAAGACACTCTAGCCACTTCCGTGAAGCTGTCAAACACGTTCGATCGGGGTCATTATTGATTTTAAAGTGTGCTTCGTTCCTGAAAAATCAGTCTCTACCTTCTTAACATTTAGGTCTAACATACTCTGAAACTGTTAAAAGCTTTAGCAGACTAATTCTTTCGCAATGCTTAAAAAATAAACAAATCCTTAGAGTCAAATATAGGACAATAGTATACATACTTTGGGCTAGGATCGAAGCTAGAGAACCATGCAAAAAGGTAAATACCTACAGTTAAAATTCGCTACTTCGACGCGGTGAAGTTTCCACCAGTTCTTAACACAGTTCAAAGTTTTGCCCTGGCAACGAGTCTGTGCCATCGGAGGGGTAACAGAAAGGCCGAAATGATGATGACCTGTAGGCTAACCATGTTGTCGAAGTACTCCCTAACCAAACACCTTAGACTAGAGGGTTAAATCTAAAATCCTGCGTAATAATTATTTATAACTATCGGGCAGAAAGCAATAGGATTGTAACTTGGCAGGCTCCGCTAAACGTACCCGCATTTCGTCGACTTCAGCTTTGAGAAGCTTCTTTCGCATTCGCTTAGTCAGCCAAGGAATTAATATGGGTATTTTCAACAGAAAGCCGGATGTTCGAAGCTTCGATAAATGCTGGTCTGTTCGATTTATAGAAATATGGCGAAAAGATAATCCTTGTCAAGAATAAAAACAATAACACAACGAACCCAATTAAAAATCGTATAGTTTTTGTTACTATCGATCAAATTGGCGGTAAAGGGCCGACTGGAATGATAACATATTTTGCGCGAGATGTGCTAGAGACGGCGCGAACTACTTACCTATGATGCAATGATTCTGCTGAAAATTGGCTTGCCATAACTGAAATTTTACTATGTTGATACAACAGTAAATAGAAAAATACTGAATATATATTGCTGTTAAGGATTGTATTTAGGCGTTTTCTCGAAAGGGTAATTTTCCTAGATGTAACTCTTAGATGAAGCTAGCATTACAACCTCGAACGAACATTTATCAAATACGTCAAAACGGGCAATAAACGAAAAGTGCAAGTACATATCACCATAACTTTACTGGAATCGAATCTCACGCACTTTTTATGGAAGACCTTTATTTAAGTGCCACCTGGCGTTGCTTTCAGTTTTGAGTAATTCTCCGTTGCCGAGTATTTTTTAAAAAAACAGTAGAGTAATGATTGCGTGGACAATGAGAAAATTTTGATTAGAGCTGACCAACGCACTCGCGGAATCTCTCAGCACCACGGGCTACTTTTGCTTTCAAGCCCCTAATAGTAAGTAATACAACATAGGGGCCTAGAAAGGACCGGGTCGAGCCGTTCCGTTGTTTACAGCAACTGAATGAATTTATCCGGCACCCGTTATACATAACATTTTTAATACGTAAATGTCCATTTTACGTCAAATTCTCGTGCTACGTATGCTCGCATGTGCACGGGTTTATTATTGCTAACTGCAGATTATGTAGTATTGTTCCATTATGGCGCAAATTCAATGTATTTGCTTAATAAAGTTAAGACCGCGTGTTTGAAACTGCTCGTAGACACCTTTGCTCTGTACCGAGAAGGCTAACTGTCTAAGGCGATATTTAATGCTAGTGCCATATAAAAAACGTGGCACATTTTCTAGGTCACTTACTGTTAAAGGCTCAATTTCAGATATAGATTTTTCGAATAAAGGTTACGAATTTAAGCTGATTATGTTGAGACCTTTATTGTAGCATAAATTGTCTTCTTCACCAAGTAAGTAAAAAACTTTATCACCCTATTCAGTTATCGATCAATGTAGATGTAACAAGTTTGCTGCATTGATTAGGAGTTTCATCGTTCGTTGAACCCAATTTGTTTTTTTTTTTATTTTTCTCTATTGTTTGCACGAAAACATTTAAATCTAGGTACGCTGAGAGCCCGAAAGAAAAACTACCGTTATAACCTCAAAGGCGTTAGGTTAATTTTCCAGATTTAGGTTCCACTACTAAAATTACGTGGTATCTATATAGGTTAAGGCTGGGCGTTGATACGAAATATAAAGAGTAAGCATAAGCTACTCCAGCACACACATTGTGCAATGAACAACAAGAGTGATACGATACTAAAAGCGACCACGATACTAAAAGGGCGTACTGTTCCTTGCCATATATTTGCCACACTGGCGTGCCGCTAGGGCATGCGACGATGGCTTTTGGGATTAGCTTGAACGTCCGAGCAAACGGAGAGTAGTTATGCAGTTACTAAACAGATATCGATATTTTGCGCCAAAATTGAAGAACTAATTGATAATTCTCCACTCTGCCCTGTATTTATACACCTTGTATCTGAATCTGCTGACAATAAGGCTTACAATGCGTTATTTCTTTATCGTTTAATAGTTGATAAAACCGAGTCTGCGGACAATGCCGATGACCAATGAAATTATAACGGATGACGTATCGTTTGATTTTGTATATACAGTAGATCTGTAGTGCAAAGCCAACTGGGGTGACGCAGGCGTTCAGGAAGAAACGTACTACACTCAAAAGGTCACCCACTTGTCGACTTCATATGAAATATTACATCTTCAAACTTACTTAGTGACAATTCTACGTAAATTAAATTGTTCAGATCGTAGCTTGATGAACGCTTAGAAGACTCATATATAATCATGTCGAATTGGTAGCACTTCATTGAAAAATATTAATATCAATCCTGTTACTTTCTCCACATTTATACTATATACTTCGTTCATTTTTTTTTGGTTAAAATCTGCTGCAATCGTTACTAACGACTAACAAAATATTTTGCTAACGAAAACACTTTAAATAACATCTTTTATCTATAACTGTACCTATTACGTCTTCCATCATATTCTTGATGTTATGTAAGCAAAGTAAGTCGGATCAACCAAAAAAGCTCGATTAAGCTTGTATTGCAAAAGCCCTAATGTGGATCAATTTTCAGATTTTCAGTTCAGATATATAGTGCCTATAACTTTCCCTTTCCCAACACTTAATAATAAAGAAAATTCGTACTTCAATATTATCGATTACTATCTTTCCTCGTGGTTCGCTTTTTCACTAGAAAAGAAAAATAAAGAAAATGAAATTAGGCACTATCACTTGAGCGCGCGGGATTAAAGCGATATTTGAACACCCAATCAAAAAACACGGAATAGAGAACTATGATAGCATTTTGCTAATGTCGTATTTTATGTTTGGCGGATTCATTAAGTAGATCTACAGTTCGTATTAGTTAATTATAGGTATGGAAATTTCTTTACATCAGAAACGTTAATCTACGAACGTAGAGCAAAATTAGCCATAAAGATGACGTAGTGGCGCTAGGTTTGTCTCCTTTATGAATGCGCAACAGCTTTTTTCTTTTATTACGTAAACAGTGTCAAATATACCAATAAAGGCTTTACAAAATTTATATTAACACGCGCCTGACATGAAACAATTCCTAAAATAAAATTGGTCCACTTTGTCATCAAATAAAGAAAACTAGAATTGCGTTATTTTTCAACACTATTTCTTCTTGCAGTTTGCATAATTTGAATAATAAAAACAAAGAAAACCAAGATCAGATACGATGACATGAGGGACGAACTTGGCTGAAGACTAAGGAACTTGGCAAAAAGAGAGTTTCTCGCTTATCTTGGTGATTAAATAACAGAGAGAAAAAACAATAAACAATTTTAACCATAATACTCGAAAAGTTTGAAAATGAAATTCCGAATGGGGTTTGTCAAAAACAAAACCAAATTGTGTACAGTTGGTCTTGTTGACACCATATTTTTTCTAGTAGTTACCGAGACCCGTTTGAAATCAATGAAGAACCACTACCCAAAATTGGCATAAGTAATAGAAACCACTACCGTTTTTTCGGACAATTATAGTAGCAATAATATTTCGTTTTCATTATTGCCAACGTGGCACAATGTTACCCGAGGTAGAATAAGCCGTGACATTTTTCTCGAATAGCAACCATAGCAATTTATAATACAATCGAAATACGGCACCATATTTGTATTCAAAAATAAGTTCTAAGTTATGACTTATACTGACACACGTTTGAATAAATATGACCAAATAGATGGAGCACGATAAGCCATTTGAGCTCAGAACAGTTAAAAAAAAAGTGGCTTAAGGTTTGCATGATTCGTGCCATG